TCCTGGCTGCTGGCAGGGAAAGGGAGTTGCTTGGGCAGTTTTAAGGCCACCTATGCGCCTGCGCGCTCACTCTGGCTTCCTCGTCCTCCTCCTCCTCCTGGCTGCTGGCCAACAGTAGTGCATTTTAAGTAAACTCAGAGTTTACACATTCATCTGAATAAATGAATTACATGCTGTGCTAAAAGGGCATAAATATGGCCTTGGCTGAATGGAAAAGTAACATTCCCACCCCATTCTCTCACTGATTTGTTTAGATTATGCATGGGGCTAAAATGGGAGATACACAGGTCAAATCCACATTTCAGGGTGATTTTCTGAAGTAAAAAGAGTTCCTATTTGCTCCAAATCAGAGCAGAAACTCCAGAGAATCCCCTAAGCATGTGGACTGTGTGCCAGTGCGGGGATGAGGGAGAAGTGTCAGAGAGTGTGCAAGTCCATGACGTCTTCCTGCCTGGAACTTCCAACTCCCCCCTTATGCAGTTCCTTTTGCAGTCAAGCAAATTGATTACAGATGTGCACATTAGCACAACCATTTTTTTAAAATGCGCAAATTGATTGCACAAGCACATATTAGCTCAACAATACCATCAGCGCAGCACACCAATGTTCAGTAGGATGGATGTTGCCCTTTTCCTTGGGGAAAAAAAGGAAGAAGGTCTCCTGGGCAGTGTGCAGGCAGTGCTGCTGTATTGGCCCATTGTGGGTACATGTTATGCAAACAGCTTGTCCTCTTCACAGATTAAGAAGCCTCAATGGTAAACCAGGTTTAACCATCATTGCAGACACTGCCTATGTGAGCACAACCAAAGCTCAACTTTATCTACATGAACAAATGAAGGCATACACATTTAATTGGGGAATAGTAGGATTTTCTTCTTCTCTTTATGTTTTGCACGTTTGGAACATTGATTTCTGTAGAACTGTGCCAAATGTTCCCCGTTACAGCCATTGTAATTGGTGGATAAACATTTTCCACAAATGGTGAACTCTTTTCTTGCTTTGTTGGTAATTGCCCTGTTTCCCTGATTCTTCTTCTTCTTCCCTTCTGTTATTCTCTTCTGTTTTCTACACAATGTTTTGGTTTTAGACATAGGATTTTGATTATATACTTACAAAGGCGTTAGTGATCATGGGCCATTAACAACCTGGAAGGGCCTTAACTGGACTTCCATGAATGGTGGATATAGGGCCTCAGCAGACGACTAATAGAGTCATCTCCGAGGCAGGGAAGAGGAGGGGCAGCTGCACGATCAGTGCCCCTTCCTCCTCCCGAGGTTGCCCTCGGAGCTGCCAGCCTTCCGCATGGCCGGCGCTCCAAGGGCAACCTCCCGCCGCAGCGTCTGCACACGCTGTGGCGGATAAATCAGGGAAAGTGCACCCTACGCTTTTAGGGTACACTTTCACTGACTTCTGAAAGGACCGCTGATTTAGTGCTCCTTTCAGAGGCGCCGACGGTGTGCTGTGGTGCAGATGCCGTGGTCCCGCGGCGCACTGTCCCACGGCGTCTCGGACACCTTCATGTGCTTCCCCCCACAGTAGGCTGGATTTAGGTTGGTTTACATATAACTAAATTATTCATTTTTCCAGCTTGGGAAGAAGTGGATCAGATGATTTTCAGTAGACTTGTCAAATCTCAGGGCCTGGTCCCTCTTCTCCAGTTCTTAGCAGGAGGACTTAGAGCTTCCATCCTTAGGAGGAGGCATGGAAGCCATACTCTATGCAGAGTGACTAGGGAGCTGGGTATATTTAGCCTGGAGAGAAGAAGGTTAAGAAGTGATATGATAGCCCTGTTTAAATATTTGAAGGGATGTCATACTGAACATAGAAGAAGCTTGTTTTCTGCTGCTCCAGAGACTAGGACATGTAGCAGTGAATGCAAACTACAGGAAAAGAGATTCCACCTCAACATTAGGAAGAGCTTCCTGATAGTAAGAGCTGCTTGACAGTGAAACAGACTTCCTCAGAGTGTGATGGAGTCTCCTTCTTTGGAGGTTTTTAAACAGAGGCTGGATGGCCATATGTCAGGAGTGCTTTGAGTGTGTGTTCCTGCATGGCATGATTGGACTGGATGGCCCTTGAGGTCTTTTCCAACTCTATGATTCTATGGTTCTGTGATTCTGTGACTTAGGGAAATGTCTCAGAAGGAGAGCACTGCCTTGAAAGGTGTGCATATATATGACATACTCTGTAGTTGAAGTTTAATATAAAAAGCTTAATGACACAATTAGGAACTTATAACCATGACCCATCCATTGACATTACAAGGAGTCATCTCAAGATCTGAAATTTCGGCTTTGACAACTTGGCCTGGCATAATCATGATGTGGCTACCCTATCTGGGGGCCTAATCCAGTATGAACAGAGATACCATGAGTACCAATTTTTATGCGAACTCTATGATGGTAAATGTTTGGATTTAATCATGGTTTTATTTTATGCCCAAATGTGGTCAGCATAACCCTAAATGTGTACCCCAGCACCACTCATGGAAGTAACCCTTATCTGGTCATTCCCTGTTTTAAAACAATGCCCTACCTGGCCTAAAACAGGTGAGGGTGTATGTGTAAAGTACTATTTAAGTGGCAAATTGTGTGTCCCAGAAGCATCTAAGGAGTGTGGTTCTGGAGTGATTTAGAATTAAATTTGATTATTTGAAGTTATTAAAAGGATCTCTGGACCCTCAGAAGTTGTCTGCCTGTTCCACAATGGCTACCATTCCAATTTTTTAAAACTTGCCTTGAAGTCATGATAGTGTAAAATATTCCAAATAATAAATGTAAAGGAACATGGAGATGAGAGTACAGATAGCTCCAGGAACAGACTTCAGCTGCAAATCTATGCACACCTTTTTGGAAGCAAAACTCAATTGAAATGCTAGTGCATAATTCCAAACAAACATGCATGGGATGAGGCAGCTCTGTGATTTCATATATATGCATGTTCATCCCATGCTGACTCCATCATCAGTTGTTGAGAAGGATATGTAAAACAATCACCATAAATCAAACCCCACAACCAGAACTCTGGTCTCATGGTGTTGCTTCAAATACAGCATACTCTCCAATAGAAAGACTTCATCCCTTCAACTGCAAAACATTAAACACACAATGTGGTATCATTTACTGTTATGTATGAGTCACTGATAAAAGTATGAAGTTCTCTGACTTTGAATATCACTAGTTATTTTTCACAAAGCTATGCTTCTATAGAGAACTCTTAAATGACGTATGAATGGATGTTTTTGAAGCCATCATTAAAAGTATCAAGCTGAGTGTTTGAATGGGCATCTACATAGTTGATTTTTCCTTTCAGAGATCTAATTACATATGTTCAGCGGCAAGAGCTAGAATGGTGTAATGGTTTGAGCTTTGGACTACAACTCTGGAGACCAGGGTTCAATTCCCCGCTTGGCCAAGGAAACCTTGGGTGAGTTACATACACCCAGCCCCAGAAATCTCCATGATAGCTTCACCTTAAGGTTGCCATGAATCAGAAATGACTTGAAGGCACACAATAACAACATGTTCAGCACCCAAGACTTAGAGGCTGTACAGACCACCAAAATGGGGTGGTGGCAAGCTGCCCCTTTGTTTGCCAGATTGGGGCCATGGCAACCACATGCCACTCCACCGATCTGGTGCTTTGCCACACTAAAAAGAGCTGGCAAATGCAGCTCCTTTTTAGAGTGGGAAAAAGTCACCCTTGCCAGCGTGGCGGTGGCTTTTTGGTGATCCTTTGGCACAGCTTGTGTAGACACTGTATCAAGGGAGCGCCCAAATGCCTCCTGCTGTGCTGTGGGGCATGCGGCATGAAGATGGCATGGGGGCAGAGTCAGGGCAGCCGGCGTGTAGTCGCCACACCCCCACTCTGCCCCCAGTTCAGCCCCTTAGTGCCCTTTCATGCTATACAATTATAGTGTGATGATTCCACTTTAACTGTCCTGGCTACATACCATGGAATTCTAGGGCTTGTGATTTAGTAAACCACTATACCTCCTTGGCTGAGAATTTTAAATACCCATCCCTAAACTGCAAATCTTAGGATTTCATAGAATGGAACCAAAGCAATTAAACTGGAATCATAGCACTATAATTGTGTACAGTGACTAGTGTCATGGCCCAGAACTGGATCATGTTCTTTGTTTCAGTTGCTCCAAACCCAAAACAAACTCAGCCCAGCCTTTTCAAAGCACTGTTTCTTTCAGGAACACCATTCCGGTCTTCAATAAACTTTCAGTTCATTGTGTATATTTTAGCACTTCAACTGAAAAGTCAAGACCATAAAATGTGACAGAGTGCAGAATGCTTTATTGATTACACTTCCAATAGAGTTTGTTCATCTGTTCAGTCTTCTTTTACATGCTCTTTGGATTCCTACCATCCATTTTATGGCCCTTTTACAATTCTTACTATCTTTGGGGAAAATTTGAAAAGAGGTTAGAACAAACAAGGTAATGACTGAATGGGTTAATGCTTTGCTATCCTATTCACTTAGTGGAATGTTCTACTTATTTTTCTTTAAAGCTAAGCCAGAAAAATTATGGAATGATAGTGTGTGAGTGAAGAAGAAATATGGAAAGAATCACTTTTATATGAAGATGGATTGTTGAACCTTATTCAGAGGTGCCCCATCAACACGAGAAACACTCTGAAGTAATTCTGCAATTTGGGAAGATGAACTTAACACCTAAAAGGTGTTAATTAGCTCTCAGAAGATGGTAACTATGGCCTTTACAGACTGCCAGAAATAATGCAGCTTGAGTCCACTTTAATTGCCCTGGCTCAGTGCTAGGGATTCATGGGAATTGTAGTTTTTTCTGAAACATTTAGCCTTCTCTGTCAGAGAGCTCTGGTGCCACAATGAACTACAGTTCCCATGATTCCCTAGCACTGGCCCAGGGCAGTTAAAGTGGACTCAAGCTGCATTATTTCTGTCAGTCTGTAAAGGCCCTAAAACATTGACTATAATGTCCAGGGGCAGCTGTGATGGCTATGTAGCAAAGTACAATAACTTCCAAAATCCACAAAACAGTGATACCTTTCTGGGGCCAATCAAAATACAAAAAATACATGTTGCAAGCTTTTAAAGCTTCACTGGCTTCTTCATCAGGCAAAGATGTTAAAAATTATACTGGAGAAAAAAAGAAATTATGATGATGTTAGTCCCAAGCCTGCATTTTATCAGGATGTGGATGTTCTCAGTCCAGATGGTACTGGAGGGAAATTCATGCAGATAGATCCTTCCTCCTTCTGGCCATGTGGGTACTCCAGGAAATGTTTTGGTTTTTTTTTTTTTTAAGTTCCATTAGCAAGACAAAAAAAATATAATTTACTAATGGACAGGTGAGAATGTCTTTTATAATAGGACTGTATTATCCATTATGGTTGGGATAAGGAGGGTATAGACTGTCTAGACACCTTAAATATTTCTAGGAGTTAACTACCATGAAATAAAACAGCATGAAAGCCAACAAGATCAGATAAAGCCCATGTGACTTTTTAGGCACATAATCTGATTACACATCTAAGCACTTGCACAGTTCATTAGGAACACAGCAGGAAACCCCATGGCTGCTTTTCCTGGATTGGGTAAACATATTTTACACTTGGCCTCCCAGACACAAACTTACTCTCCTCTTCCTCCTCCACCTCTTCTTTCTTTTTATAAATATTCTTCCCCCTATTTATAAAACTTCTAATAAGTGGGTGAGTTTATATACTGGAATAATAAAGTCCAAAATCATTTTAAGATGTTTACTCATCTGGTTCCACTTCGGATGTTGCTATTATTACTACCTGAATGCATGTTTATTCAAAACTGGTGTTTTTGTTTTTTAAGCAACTTCTTCTTCAGAACACATTGCACTGTAGTCCTGAGCTTAAGTAAGAGGAAGAGTAGGAGGCAGGAAGAGAGGGATCTAGAGGATTTAATATGAAACCACAAATAGGAATGCCAGTCTGCAAGTACTAAACATTTTAGGAAAATATATATGATGAAGAACAATGAAACTAGCAAATAACATTTTGAGCAAGTGATGTGTTGTTCTCAATACTAAATTTGCTTTCTTTTGGTCTGGGCAATGAAGAACTCTGGGCACCATAGTTCAAGAAGGATACTGACAAGCTGGAACATGAACTCATAGATTCAAATTGCCAGAAAAGATATTCCATCTAAACATTAGGAAGAACTTCTTGATAGCAAGAACTGTTTGACAAAGGAATGGGCTGCCTTAGCAGGTGGTGGTCTCTCCGTCAGTGGAAGATTTTAAATAAAGATTGGATGGTCATCTTGCAGGAGGACTTTGGCTGTATATGACCTGTGATGCTATGATGCTTTATCCCAGGGATAGGCAACCTTTCCCCTTTAAGGGCTGAGGGACTTCAGCTCCCAGAAGCCTCAGCCATGTTGGCCAATAGTCTCATGTTGGCCAATAGCTCCTGGAATTCTGGGAGCTGAAGTCCCTCGGCCCTTAAAGGGGAAAGGTTGCCTACCCCTGCTTTATCCTATTATTCTTATTGTGGAACCATATGAAACAAAGGTGGTCAATTTAGGTTCCCATAGCATTTATTATCTACTTACTACATGTGTATGCCACCTTTCTTCCACACCTGAGAGGATGTGTATGTTTCAATTTTACATACACACATCAATGAGAAACAGTCCTCAGGATTTCATTTCCTGTTCTGCTCAATGCAGTGATGGCCTCATGGCACAAACTTGTTTTCTGCCATCACAGTAATAAACAACAAGGTCTTGCTACCACAGAATTGTGCTATTTGTGGCTCCCTAGATGTTGCTGGACAGCATGTGTTGTTGGCTATGCTAGATATGCCTAATGGCATATGCTAGATATGCCTAAAAACATTTGGACAGCCTACAATTACCCAACACTGCCTTGCAAACTGCTATGCCACTGAAAGGAAAAATATTTCTATTCTCTTGGAAAGAAGCAGCATCATCAGAGGTAGAGACACTTCTGTAACTTCAGGACAGGCAGCAATGGCTTTTCCTCTAACGCTAGACCCCCATCAATGAGAAATTCTTCTGATTTCTGCTCATTCCAATTGGGGCATTTCAGATGTTTTTTATAAAATGTGCAAAGTGGTAAACTGCCTACCGCCACCTCCCAACTATCCAAACAAACAAAAATGGATAAAGGGTTTATAATTTAGAGGAGAGAGAGAGAAACAGTAAAACTCACAAACATCAGACAACATTTTGGTCTTAAACAGGAGGCTGAGTTATGCAAAACCAGTTTTTGCTCTTCCAAAGCCTTGCTGACCCCCAAAGGAAGCTTTTGCTGATTTGCTTTTCAAATGGAAAACATCAGGCTCATAAGGGTGAGCTGCCAGAGAAGTTTGCTTACAAAGCCTTCAGAGCATTTCAAAATGTTGATGTTGATCACACAAATACAGTGAATGTGTGTGCCGGAGGGAATCTATCCAGGCATTCTATTGCCATGTGCTTTTAAACTCCCAAAGACTCCAAGTGTCAATTTATTTATTTAATCCCCCCACACACCCACACCAATTCCCTGTGCATTTTTAAAGGGTCAAGAGAGCAATAGATATGTAGAAAGGGGACAACAATTGTTGATCTCAGAGAATTTTAGCTTGAGATCTGTATGCAGCACAGGGTTAAGATACCACTGTTTCAGCTGTGTAAGTTAAACCACAATTAACTTCTGAATCCACATGGCCTCTTGACCATGCTAAGGAACTGAATAAAACATGCCTTGATTCATGGCTCTGTAGAAGGACCCCTAGGCTGAATTCCAGCTGGCTGAAGAATGTCAATATATTCTCAAGATTTATTTAGTTTTTACACTGGAAGATATTTTCTTCTTCGTTGTTGACTAATTAAGGAGAGAGGCTGACACAGCATTAGTATTAACTGAATGTTGACATCTCACCTCTTTTGCATATCATTCGCATGCTTGTTACACATGCTTCTGCTTTCTTAGGGAGACCAGGGGTCCCTTCACACTCCACAATTGAAGCACAATGATTCCACTTTAACCACTGTCAAAGTAGGCCAGCCTGATCAGTTTTGCAGTGTTACTGAAAGCATGTACATGTGGGGAAAATCACCCAAAGGTCCTTCACAAGAGGCAAAGCACTTTCTATTTATACAAAAGAACAAACAAGATGAGTTTTGTCAAAGCAAAATGAATTAAGATGATAACAGCTTCCTCAAAAATCACTCCCTTGGTGACAAGAAAATTCCAGTTCTCTTATCTGCTCCTTTCTTCCTTGTTTCCCCTTTTCAGCTATGTGACCTATAGACTTACAATTAATGGTGTTTTCTTTCACAGCACAGTGATTCCTTTCTATGGAATGCTGGGATTTGAGTTTAGGGAGGGGCATTTAGAATTCTCAGCCAGAGAGCTTTTGGGCCACATTAAACTACAAACT